AAGTTATCTTAATCCTCCTAAAACAAATGGAACTATTCTGAAACCATTATATTTCTTTGTGTTAAGTTCTTTGGTATTGTGAAGTTTCCAAAATATTACAGTTTCCTTGAGTTCATTGCAGTTCTCTGGGCTTTCATGAGATTCCCGGGATTTCCCCGGATTTGAACAGTGGTAAATGAAACTGTCTTTAATTTATTGGAACCTAAGCTAACCCAAAAGTTCGAACTGTTCTGAAGTTTCAGAACTTCTGAAAAGTTCCTGAAGTTTTTCCTGAGACTAATGGAACCGCAATAAATCTCTGGAAGTATTTCTGAAGTTTCGGGGAAGTTGAAAAAACTGACTGGAGGAGACGGAATAACCTTTCGAGCGAAGCCAGAAGAAGCTTCCAAGGGAAGTCGAAATAGCTTTCCGGAAGGAATCGGAAAATAATTTACAGGGTAAGGTAGACGGAAATTCCTAGGTTGGAAAGTTGCAAGAAATTTCGAAGAGAAGATTAAAGAAATTTCAGGAAGTTCAAAAATTAACATTTTTATGGATCTAATTTTCCACTGAAGAAAAGTATTTCCCGATTTCCAGAAATTACTGGGATAAGCCATCATCTGTTTTTCGACTGCTTGGTAATCGAAAATGGCGAGGAAATGAAAGCATTAGTTGAAAGAGTATCAAGCATAAGGAATTTAAGAAGATGTTACTTTTTTAGAGCAGGCTCAAAAATTTTAATTTTCAGAAAACTTTTATCTCACAATAGTTTCCACTAACAATTCAGTGCGGGCAGGCAGTAATCATTTTGATTATTAATAAAAAAAAATCGGTATAAATCGGTATTTTAACTTATAAAACGGTATTCTGAGAAACATTATCTATACATCGGCATCAAGTTAGAAAATCGGTATATCTGGCAACGCTGGTTTGCACTGACAAAAAGTTCGGTTTCGCACCGATAATAAACGAATTAGCTATCAATCTCACCACAGTTTGGAGAGATTTGCAGCTGGTGAGTTTTTTAAGCTTGATATTCCGAGCTGTGGCATCACAGCTTGCAATATCAACCGCAGTTGTGTGATTTTTGATTTTTTTTTCTACGAAAATCAAGCGTGATCTAGGGCTTTGGTGAGATTTGATACTTTGATATGTTTCCAACACTGGTCATCCGTACGATACGTTCACCAGTGGGAGGCCAAGAAAAAAGTGTTTCTCGTTTGATAACTCATCTCGGATCGAGAGTATTTCTCCGTACGCGTTAAGGACTTTCGCTATTTCCTCGCTCGTGACGTCCGCGGACAGGTTAAAGAGCCTTACTACAACTGCTATACGGTTTTCCGTCGTCTGTCAGCTCGTGCTGGTTGTCGTTGTCCTCTACGATTTTTTGCGATACTTCGAGGCTAGCGGCTTTATGTGGTGTTTACACTTAGGCTAGTTCACTAGCGCTAATGAGCTCGCTGCTAGCAAAAACGCTCACCAGCATAATGTAAACAGGGCATCAGCGTCTACCAGCATGAAATATGTGTATATGGCTGAACTGTTAGCAATATACAAAGCAGTTCGTCTTATTAAGAACTCTACGAAAGGAAAATAGAGGCTGACTGAAAGTAAATTGGTACGCACAAAAAGACCTGTAATTCGTGATTCAATAGGTTTAAGAGTCCATTAATGGTTGGTTTACAGCACTTTTATTACAACTTTAAAATTACAGCATTAGATGGTTACATTTCTCCCGTTCGAACGAAATCTCGAACCTTCCTCTTGATGGAGCCCATCAGCGCCCGCACAGTGGAAACGGACACAGAATCAGCGCATTTCTTCCATTTTGCCCGCTTTTGCTGGGTGTCCTTGACTGCCCTGCCGCTTCGTCGAAGTCGCTGATTGAAAATATTTTTCGATTGGTTGAAGTTCCGGGCAATTCGGAGGATTCATTAGCTTGGGGACAAAATCGATCTTGTTGGCAACATACGACTCCAGAACCACCTTGGAGTAGTGGCAGCTGGCCAAATCGGGCCAAAAGATGACTTTGCCCCTATGCTTGCGGATGAACGGCAATACACGCTTTTTCAGGCATTCTTCTATGTAAACTTGGGATGTCATCGTCGAGGATGTGACGAATGGTTCCGTGTTCAGGCCACAGCTGCAAATCGATTGCCCCACGTCTAGTCGCGATGTAAAATGTTTGAGCCTTGCACACTTTTGGCCACGGAATTCTGCTTCATGTGCCGGTTCGGATTTATACTGGCTTTGTACGACTTGTATCCTTCCCTGGTAAGGATGTTCCGCACCGTTTGAAAATTGGTGTTGTACCTTCTGGCCACATCTCGGATTGAAAGACCGGGGTTGGCTTCAACGCATCTTAACACCTTGCTGCGCAGCTGACGATCCCTGGTTCCAATTTTTTTTCGTAGGTCCGCTGATTCTTTTCCACACTCAGGGTTTCTTTATAGGTTTTGAGCACTCGACAAACTGTTGTTTTCGGCATCTTCAGCACTTTAGCCAACAACCAACTACTTTGATCAAACTTGCACCAGTTGTTCTCTATAGAAGTGTTAACAAACCACTGTCAAAAAATTTCGATTCCCAACACTAGAGGCGTGCTAGCGGCGCGCGAAGGGCGTACCAATTTACTTTTAGTCAGTCTTTACCTCGTGATATTAGATAGCATGAGTGCACTTAAATGTCTTCAAACAACCAGGATAGAATCTTCGGCTCTGATGGCTTGATATGCAATAAAACAAGGTGTTGCCGAAGCCGAGCTAGGTGGCTCCACAATCGCATTCCTATGGGTTCCTTCTCATGGAGGAGTCGTAATGAACGAACAAACTGATCGGTTAACTAAAGAAGCCTGTACTAGTGGTGTGGAGGATTGTTATGAGCTTAGCGGTTTTGACATATTCGGAAATGCAAAAAAATTGAAATTTTATAATCTGGACAAATTTTGACTTGATTATACGGAACTACAACAAAATCAATATATTAGGGATTTCGTCAACAATAATTGAACAGTTAAAGTTTTCGTGTCATACTTTACACACTGATTTTTATGGTGAAAGGTGATAAAATCCACAAAAGGCCGCTATTTTGGTTAATTTGCCTTTTTAATGGCACGAATTACGGCTGAAAATCACTTAAAAAATGATGGCGCGAATCTCAGAAACTATAAAAAATTCGTGTTCGAAACTTAAATCACTCTATTGCTGCACTGCAGCATACATGTGATTGCGATTTCCTGCACGAAATCTTTATATTTTTTATATTCCTGCCATCGAAAATTCGAAGTGGCGAGTCAATAAAAAAACAAAATAGCGGCCATTTGTGGATTCTATTAACTTTCTTTCTAACACAATTACCCAAACCCAGCTGTGATTTGATGTGAGCTTTTAAATGCAAATTCTTTACTCTCGACATTGGTCGTAAAAAATTACTTTTGTTACTAAATTTTAAGAAGACTTTTTAATGAAGTGACTGACTTGAAAATAGTGATATATAGCCACTAAAAAGTGACCCGCAACCAGCCCTGCAAGGTACTGCCAATCAGTGTTGTTAACTTTTCATGGAAACCCGTAGAATTTGATGGTCGGTCCGTAGATCCATAGTAAATCTAAAAATCCGTAGATCTACGAATAAACCCGTAGAACTGATCACACTGGGTACTGCATTTTTTCACTCAATCGGATCATGTTTGTCGCTTTTTTCCTCTGTTTGTCGCTTAGGCGTCTCCCTCTTATGGAGCAAGGCTGATGATTTGCTTTCTCCGATGGAACCTTGACTCGGGAACAGCGAATCCAAACTCATAAAGCAATCAACGAAACAACAATTTGGTCGTTTTCTTCCACCGGCCCGAGCGAGCTATATTGCAAAGGAGGTTTTTCATGACAAAAAGGGTAGAATATTATATAAGTATTGCTTTCCATATCTGACATAGCGTTATCGTTCGGGCTCGTTGATCGCTTGTCATTTTGAGATATTGTTGATTCCTTGCTCGAGAAGCGTTTCCCTCGTTTGAGGCCAAATTTCTCATTTGCCTTGTTTGATCGAATCTTGTCCGTTGCTTAGGCGTTTTCCTCATTTAAGACACTATGGTTGTACTTGACTGCCCCGATCTGATGCTCGGGTTTCTTGTTTGCCTACCCGGCCTATCCTATTCAAATTTTATTGTACGTAGGTTGAGCGTCTCCCTCCTTTGAGATGAATTTTATCATTTACTTGCCCCAATCGAACCTTGTACCTCGTTTGAGGCCAGATTTCCCATTTGCCTTCTTCTATCGAATCTTATTCGTTGCTTAGGCGCATCTCCGTCTTCTCGAATTGTCGTCCCTTGAGACGAGGTACCCATTTCTTTTGAGGAAAATTGTTCTGTTCAAGGTAACTATAAATTTATTTACTAAAAACATAAAATGTGTACAACGTTCCGTCAAAAACACTAAAAAACGGATAAAACTTCAGTCATGCAATAAATAAATAGAAGTAAAATCTTTGTACAATTCCCGTGCCATCAGTGAAACGGTGGCACTGCCGGTTTAAAATTAAGTTCCAGCTCGGCATCTCTCAGCGACCGCTTAATGTATCCGAGCAGCAAAAGGTTTACGATCAGTATCATCAGAGGATATTTGATCACTTTGAAAACCATTCGCTTCCACCGACTTGAGATGGCAGGCCGTCCGCTCTTTTCAGTACAATTCTGTACTGGTTCTGCTGCTGCTGTTGCTGGTGCAACAGGCTCGATAGCTGCCGTAGCTTGTGATACCGTTTCCGGTAACAGTAGGTCGTCCTCAGGGTCAGCACTAGTACTAGACACAATAGCAGATTGAACAATCTGGAAATAAGGAAGACACATAGAGTGAAACAAGCACCGTTTCGAGAACTAATCAAAACTTTCATGCGTTAGAAATGAGCATAGCAGGATAAGGATGGGTTGTAAATTCCAGATGTTCAATGGCTACTATTGTTTCTAGTGTGAATAGATTGAGGACGACACAATGTGGACAACAGAATAGAACAAAAACAGTACTCACCATTTTTTCCTTCATCTTCTCCAGCTTGCCCTCGTACTCGATGCGTACTTCCTTTAGCTTTTCGTCCGCTAGCTTGGTAACATCTTCGAGCTTCCTAGTCAACAACTGCATATCTTGCTTCCATTTCTGTTCCTGCTCTTCGGACACCTTTCGGTGCTTAATCAACTTCGCCCTCAGTATGTCATTGTCCCTGATGCCCTTTTCGTTGATATCGCGCTCCTTCTGATGCAGCTCTTCCAGTTGCTTCATCTTCACTTCGTACTCTTTGTACTTATCCAGCTGCTTCAGCAGTGTAGATGCCTTAGAATTGTCCTCCATGTGACTAATTTCCGTCTTACTCAGCGATTCCTCCAACTTTTCAATCTTCTTACTTTGCTCGGTATTCTTTAGCTCCAAATTAAGCATCTTATCCTGCTGCAATTCCTGCGTCGACTTCAATCTACTATTCTCGATCTTCAACGTATGCAGCGTCTCTTTCAGTGTTGTCATATCCGAATGCATCACATCCAGCTCCTGTTGTTTCACCTTCAAACTTTCCCTCAAATGATCCATACTCTCTTGCATTGCTTTCTGCTGGATTTCGTTCTGTTCGATTGCCTCGTTCAGTTCTTCCTTCTTGGCCTCCAGCTCAGACTTCTCCACCTTCAGCTGCATAAATTCGTGCGACAACGAATCCATCTGCTGGTTCTTTCCGAACAACCCATCCATTTCACGCTTCAATTTTTCCATTTGCTTCTCCTGTTCGACCAGCCGTTTCTCCTTAGCTGCCAGTAGTGACTTGCAACTTTCCTGAGCCTGCACCAATCGACTGTTCTCTTGGCGCAAGTCTTGAACAGTCCTGTCCAGCTCCAGATGTTTCTCCGTCAACTCCCTGTTCGAGTCCCGTTCATTCAGGAACGCCTCATTCAGTGTATCATAATCCTGCAGTTGCTGTATCAACCGTCGATCCACATCATTGTTCTCCTCCTTAACCTTTTCCAACTCCGACTCGATCTTTCGCTTATCATCCCGAACCAGTTCCAGCTCGTTCTGCAATCGAACCAGTTGTGATTCAATTTCGTCCTTCTCGGCGACGATTGACTCGAAACCCGACACCTTCTTTTCCAACTGTGATTGGATGGATTTAACTTTCTCCAATCCCGCGGTTAGCTGATGTATCTCCGAGTCCTTCGCATCTATGAAATCCAGCTGATCGGTGACCTGTGCCTTTACGTTCGATAGCTGCTGAACGAGTAGCTGATTGGTGGATTCCACCGCCGATCGATCGGATTCCAGTTGATTCAGTTGAAGTTCGAGACGCTTCTTGGATTCGCTTGTCTCAGCGAGCTTTGCGGTTAGTTCTTCTGCCGTCTGTTCCTTGGAAAGCGTCAGCTTTTTCTGCGTTTCGAGCTCATCTTCCAAATTTCGCAGTTTTGATTCAAGGGATGTCTTTTCAGAGTTGAGTTCAGCAATCGACATCTTGAGTTCGGACGATTTAGCTTCCGAAGCGTTCAACGATTCGGACGCTGTGAAGATTTCCTGCTCCTTCAAGTGGATTTCCTTTGCAGCATGAGTTAGTTCTTTTGATCGATTGTCCAACTCATCGGTTAGCTGGAGTACCATCGATTCCAAGTTGCTCTTTTCCTTCAATGCTTGTTCCAAACGCTTTGAGGTTTCCTGCTGTTCGGTCTGAATATATTGAATGTTCTCAGTCTGCAGTAAAATCTCTTCTTGTTTCTGCTGCTGAGTTACCTCGATCTCCTTAACCTTTTCGACTAACTGCTTCTCAACCTCGGCCGATTCTTGCTCCTTCGCCTTCAACGATTCCTCAACCTCCCTTCGATTCTTGTTGGTCTCCTCGACCTCTGTAGCGAGTTTAACCACTTCGGCTTCCTTCTGCGCCAATCCTTCCTCCAGTTTCTTACTTTCCCCTTCCAGAGACTTGATCACCTGCTTCGATGCGTCAAGTGCTTTAACCGTTTCTTCGACAGTCATTTGCAGCTCCTGGTTCGTCTCCTGCAGCATTAAAACTTCACTTTCCTTAGTTGCTTTAATCTCCTCCATGCTAGTTAGCTCCTTCTTTAGTTCGTCGATCGCCTTCTTGTTCGATTCCTGTTCTTTACATAGGCACGTCTTCTCCGCTTCTAGATTAGCTCTCTCCACACGCAATTCATCGACCAGTTTCGACAACTCACCAACCTTACTTTCCACAGCACCCTTATCACCGAGCGCCACCTCCAGAACCTTCTTTGACTCCTCCAGCTCCTGAACCTTTCCGTCCAGTACGTTTCGTTTCTCATCCATCACCTTGAGCTTAACTTCCAACTCGGCGCGTTCCTTACTCAACGCTGTAGTCGTTTTCTCATGCTTCGCCTTTTGAGCCGCAGCTTCCTCGCGTTCCATCGACAGCTGTTTGAGCAACTTTCCGCACTGTTCGTCCAGCGATCCTTTGTCGTGATCGATCCGTTCGACCTCCGCTTCCAGTCGACACTTTTCCTCGCGCAGGGTATCTCTATCTTCTTCGACAAACGCAATCGATTCCGTCAGTTCTTGTACTCTTTCTACGAACTCTTGCTTCTCCGCTTCGATGGCGCTCTGTGTGTTCAATAGCTCTTCTTTTTCCATAGCTAACTGACCGAGTTCTTCTGCTGCCGTCGATAGTTTCGTATTGAGATCTTCGATTTGAGAGGACAACTCATCGGATTTTTCCTGTTCCTCTTCGAGGGATCGTTGCAAAGCGGCTTTGGTTTGCCGAACCGTAATTAAAAGCGTTGCCAATTCTTGGACCTTTTCTTCCAGCAGCTCCTTCTCACGACACAGTCGTGAAATGGTGTCGTTACGCTCTGCAAGTGCCACCTGTTCTTCCGCCAAATTTGCTTCCAAGCGTGTCTTCTCTTCTACCACTTGAGCCAATTCCAGGCGAATCGCTTGCAACTGATCTTCCAGTGCATCGTTTTCTTGGCATCTTCTGGCCGTTAGCTGTTTCTGCTCTTCCAGATCTGTCTGCATTTCCTTCAGATCGACCTCCAGTCGCGAACACTTAACTTCCATTTCATCACGCTCGCGGGAAACGTCTTTCAGATGTTTAATCTTTTCATCGAATTGCTGTTGCAGACCTGCACGAGATTCGTCCATTTCCTTGATTTCTACTAGCAATTTCTCCGAGTGAACTACAGCATCTTCGACCTGTTTTCTCTGCTCCGCTTCCCGCTTGTTTCCGTCTTCAAGCAACTTCGTCTTTTCAACAATCAACTCCTCGTAGCTACTCTCCAGTTCTTTGATTCTACCACCGTCCAAGTCCAGTCTAAATTCCATCTCTGCCAGCTGTTCTTCCAACCCAAAGCTTCGTTCTTCCATCGCTCCCTTTTCGGTATGCAGCTTCTGAACCGTCTGGTGCAAAGTCTTTTCCACTTCCATCAGTTTATCGTTCTCAATCTGCAGCGCTTTAAATTCGGCGTTCATTTTTCCGAGATTTTCCTCCAATTGCGTCTTCTCCAAACGCAGTTTGAACTGATACGCCGATAGTTTCGTGACCAGAGCTGAGAATTCCCCTAGCTTTCCTTGGAGGTTGACAATCTTGTCCAGATACTGATCTTCCAGCCGTTCAATATTAGTTTGAATCAACTCGAAACCGGACAGGAGAGAACGATTGACCGCGGTCAGAACGTCCTGTTCATTCTTCGCAGCAGCTAGTAGTTTTTGCTTTTCATCGATTCGACCGTTAAGCGATCGTTCCATCTCCTTCGATTGCTCGGATTGATTCGCAAGCAGTTGCTCCATGTTTTGTACTTGTGCTTCCAAGCTTTGAACTATTTCACAGTTCTTGCTCGATTCGCTTCGTTGTGCCGATAGGCTTTCTTCCAAAGCAAGTTTCTGTTGTTGAATTTGATTTCTTTCTTCGATCAGTTGTTGCTTTTCAATCTTGACTTGGTCAAGATTCTTGATAGTTTCGAGTAAGTTGCTGCTTTCATTGGACAGATTCTGTTGTAATTCCTCAAGCTTAATTGCCAACTGATTCTTCTCGTTGACAGTTTTCTGCTGCAGTTGTTCCATATCCTGTAGCGCGGTTAATTGAACTTCCAAGTTCGATTGAAGCGTTGCATTCGTTTCCTTTTCAACCGCTAATTCTTTAGCTTGAGAATCAAGTTCCTCTCGCACAGCGTGTAGAGTTTCCTCGCAAGATTGGAAATCCTCCGACTTATTATTCAGACTATCTTGCAATTCCAGTAACTCAGCAGACAGACCTTGTATGTTTTCTTCTAGATCGGCCTTCATTCTTTCCAATGAAGCCACACGATCGTCTCTCTCCGTCAGTGCTGTTTCACTTCTTCGCAACTGTTCGCTCAGCTGCCTGATCTTTTGTTCCGACTCATCTTGTCGTTCCTCCATTTCCCTCAGTTTGACGTCGCTGTTGCTGAGATCCTTTTCCAAGCCAACCTTTTCCATCGTGATCTTCATGTTCATCGTCGTCAAACGTTCCTTGTCGTCCTTCAGCGTGCGCAGCCGTTCTTTTAGGTCGTCCATCTTGTCGAACCATGACGAAAAATCGCTTCCCTCGTAGTCCTCATTCAGCGACAGCATCAGATAGTCAATCTTCTGCGTCAAAGATTCGTGGTCTCCCTTCAGGCTATTGAATTCCACATTTAGGTGCAGATTCTGCTGGCTCAAAGAATCCTTTTCCGAAATCAACTTCAACAGATCACGCTTCTGTCTGTTCAAGTCTTCGTCCAATGCTACATTCTTCCGTTGATATTCACTGGCTGTTTTCTGTACCAGCTCCAACTGTCTTTCAATATCCGCCGAATGGCTTTCGAGCTTACCCAGAACCTCCATCTTGGCCACCAGTTCCGTCTTAAGCGCCCTCACATCTTCCTCCAGTGCCTCGCTCTTGACTTCCAGTAGTTCCTTTCCTTCCTTGAACTTGCCCAGCTCCTCGAACAACGTCTGATAGCATGCCTTGAAAATGTTCATCTTCTCCACAAACCCAACATCCTGTGGGTTTGCACTTCCAAACGGCAACGCTCCGACCATATCGTCGTACAGCCGGAAGAAGCTTCCTACCAACCCGGAGACCCTAACTTTCTCCTGCTCGATCATGTCCAACGATCGCTTGAGCATACAATTCTCCGCTTCCTTCTCCTTTAGCTGCACATCCACCACCGCTTGGGCCATATTTTCCGGGCTGATACTGTAGCTCTTGCCGGATGCACCAACACTGCTGCCACCCGAGCTGAGTTCCAACCCATCGAAGGAGGTGTTCAAGTTCTCCGGCAGTGGATCGTTCTGCTTGAAGCGACTTTCTTCGATGAAGCGTTGCAGTTCTTCGTTGTTTTCCCGCAGGCACTTGATTACCTCGTCCTTCTCGGCGATGCACTCCGACAGGGATCCGAGGGAATTTTCCAGCTCCTGGATTTGGTCCTTGAGCTTGACGATCTGTACGTTGCGGTAGTTGACCTGATGAGGGAAAGAGAAACGAGAGATTTGTTAGACAGTGTTTCCGTGATTGAATTTGGCCGAATGCTAGTACCATCAAGATCATTCAACCATTTACCAACCAATTGAAAATCTTACTGAATTTGTAAAAGCCTAGTCCTGGAACCGGCAATGGGCTATTTTGATGAAGTCCACAATCATCCAAATGTGTTACATCTGGGAAGTTCCTTGAAACTATTAAACGAAGTTCTTAAAACTTCCAGGAAGTTGATTGAGTTTATCTGAAGTAAGGTCCCTGACAAACTGCTACGATATTCCAGATACGAAGATCCTTGGAATTCTAACAAGTAGAGATGCACCGAATATTCGGGCCGAATATCAGTCAAATTTGAAGTTGTTCGAATAGTCGGCTTTTCGAATAAAGAACGCTGTTATTCGGTCGAAAAATATAGATAGTTGAAAATTTCATAGAATATGTTGCCGAAGAGTGATGGGGTTGCATATTCTATACTTTACTAAACATTTGCGAATTTGTTTAAGCTTCTAAGAAATACCCTGAACTTCTACGAAGTTTGTCGAACTTATACAATGCACAGTGGTCCAGAATGGGACTTTAGCACCTTCTTCTACCTTGTGTTTTCTTCTCTTCAATAATGCGTTGCTGTTGATTGAGCAGTTCCTTTGCCGCCAAGCAGGTCGGATCTGCACGACTAAAATATTCGCTGCTGAACCTGGTTCCCGCTTGCTTGCTTCAGTCTCCAGGGTTGTCACGTCGAGTGTCGCCACTTCTTTATCAAGATCCTCAATTGCTTCCGCTGGTATCCAAACTTCTAACACTCCGATGATCTTCTTCCTGGTAGCGCTTTTCTTCGTCCTGCTTCCTGCTTTCGTTCTTCGTCCAGTTGTTGCTTCTCTGGCTGCTGCCGAGCGGAAGCGCTTAGGGCAGAAATTCATCCAGTGCCCATCCATCTTACAAAGAAAACACACATTCTTGTTCCCTTGATAGAATACATTCCCTTTCCGATTGAGGAAATGCAGTGATGTAGGAATTTGCTTTTCACATCCACATATACACCACTTACACCAGTGTACATGTCGAAGCAGGAATTTCTCCCGGACGACACGCTTTACTTCACTGTATTTTCCCGGCGCCTTGTGACAGATGGTCTTGTTTCAAATAGAAATAGGGTTGTTTAGAGGTATTGAGGTAAATACATATTCATATTCTGCATTAAAAATGGAACCGAAATCCAATGTTTCATCATTTTAGGTGCACTGGCACTATTTCAAATAAGAGTGATTACATTAGCAAAAATCACCATCTTAGCGCCCTTCAGAGGGACTTTGTATAGAAGCGAGCTGTCAACTAATAGATTTTCAAAAATAAAACTTTTAGATCTTGATTTAAAAATCGAGATGAATGTCTGTCTGTTGAAGCAAGCTGTCAACTAATAGATTTTCAAAAATAAAACTTTTAGATCTTGATTTAAAAATCGAGATGAATGTCTGTGATCGATAAAAATATCGTTGTGCTCAGAAAACGAAGCTCTTTCAGATGATAAATAAAAACTGATATTTTTCGAAATTAAACAACCTAATTTCAGCTAACCCACAAAACTAGATTGGAATGAATTTATAAACGAGGCGGGATTGCTGCAAATTGAACAGACCTTGCGGAAAGGTGTTCCACCGAATTTACAGGAAATCCTCGCATGGCCGGTCCGAAGTCTTGAGATGATCCGCTGGTCCTTGTACTTTTGGCTGTCCAGCCAGGAGCGTACGGTTTCCTTGATCTTCCTCAGGAAAGTGGTCCGCGACTGGAACCATTCCTGTTGTCAGGCTTCCATAAAGGTATTCATAATCCAACGCCTGACGTCTAGAAGGGGTACGTTCCTGGTGTAGCGGGGACGGGATGCACCAGATCCCGCCAGTCTGTCCGCAGCCTCGTTTTCGGGAACACCGCAGTGTCCGGGGATCCACGTAAAGACGGTTGAATGTGGGGCGTACCGTGTAATGGCTTGTATCCAGGGGTGGCTCGGGGCTTCGGCTTCCAGCGCTTGGATGACGCTGTGTGAGTCAGTTAATACGAGGATCGGTTGATCTGCCGGAGTGATGGCTGCGTCTAGAATAGCTGCGACTTCAGCGGAAAAGACGAAACACTCCTCCGGTAGACTTTGACTCGTTGCAGTGTTCGGGCCCTGCCACTCAGCTCGCGACCGCGATCCGTCCGTAAAGCGATGAACGTGCTCCGGATAAACCGACCCGAGAAGCTCTGCAACAGAACGTCTCAAAGCTACAGAGTTATTTCCGGATTGGAATCCACTCTTAATCCACTTATCTATTTGACGACGTTTGATCGCCAACTCTTCTCTCCATGCTAGTGGACCCTGGCCACCGGGGGGAGGTCACGGTTGGCTGCAGTGCGGAGGACTCTGTTCCCCTCGTTGAGGAGAAAGACCCTTTCGTTCCCGCATGTCTTAGCAGCGAGGGCAGCGGCTTTCGTAGCAATGGCTGCAGCAGATCGATAGCGGAAAGGGAGGATTCCGATTTCCACACATGCGGCGTCTGCAGGCGTGGAAGAAGGAAGGCCGGATACGATGCGTACGTAGGTATTGTATACGGGAGCGAGGATGTGGTTGAGCTTCTCGGTGGTTAAGCAGGTTATTTCGAGGCCGTACAAAAGACGACTGTCGATAACAGCCCGAGCGACACGAAGGCGGATCTTAGGTTGCTGGAGCGATGCAGGTGGAAGATTGTCCTGACTATGTTGATGCGGCTACGACAGTTTTCCTTCACCATCCTGAAGAGGAGAGCTGGAAACCAACCGAAAGCGCCCACCTGCTGACGGCGGAGACTGCTGCTTGAGCTATGTTCCTGGTCCGCTTAGTCGTTCGTCCCGTTACGACGATAAGTATGTCGTCGACATAAACGATTACGTGCACGTTCTTGGCCAATCAGCTGAATACCCCGTTCATTGCCACCAGGAATAGCGTTACCGCTATGACGGATCCCTGGGGCACTCCAGTTTCCTCGGGGAACGGATCCGAGCGAGTGTTCCCGACAGTCACCTGGAGGGTACGATCAAGGAGGAAATTCCGTACAAAATGTGTGATGTGACCTTCCAAGGTCCCAGCCGATAAGCTGCTGATGACATCAGGTGTCCATGTCCTGCTAAACGCCTTTGAAATAACAAGGGAGGCTAACTCCGCATGGTGACCGTTGTCCTGGGCTTCCTTAAGTGGAGGAGCCGTGTCCTTGCCGGAACGCATGTTGCCGTTCGTCAAGGAGGCCGTTCAACTCCAGGAACTGCTCAAGACGACGATTTACCGTTCTCTCCATCACTTTTGCCGCGCAGCAAGTGAGCGCAATCGGCCTAGGAGGAGGCTTCTTTACTCGCCGTGTTGTTCTTCGGAATGAGCACAACCAAGCTTTGTTTCCAGAGGTCCGGAAACGAGTCAGTGAGCCATAGATCGTTGAAGAGGGCGAGTAGCCTCGTTTTTCCGTCGAGGGAGAGGTTTTTTAATACCGGGTATCCAATCTCGTCTACTACTGCCGAGGGCAAATTGAAGCTCCCGGAATGTAAGAGCTTCGTTGATCTGGAGAGCAGGAACATCGGGTGGAATTCGCAAGTCGCGAATGCTGCTTGTGGAAGGTTTGACGCACTGGACGAAATCGCTGTCGTAGCCACTGACAGCAGACAGGCCGGAAAAATATTTTCCTAATGAGATCGAGGTGCCATGAGCTTGGATAGTAGGTGGAGTAGACCGCCACTCAGAGCGTTGACGCGATTCCACAATTCACTCGACGATTGGGATTCGTCGATTGAATCCAAGAAATCCATCCAGCTAGATCGCTTTGCGTCACGGATCACCTGTCTGCACGAGAGATAGCGTTCTCGGTAAAACTTCAGCGCTTCCTCCCTACCAGGGTCGCCTAAGGCGAGACGCTTGAGCCGGCGTAAAGCTTTGCGTCGCGCTTTCACCGCGCATTTGGTATCCTCGTTCCACCAGGTACGCTATCCGTCCTTGGGATAGATACTGTTGCAGCTTCGTAGAGTACTTCCGTGAAACTCGAGATGTCATTCGGATCGCGTTGCTGAAGGTGAGCGTCAGATTTCTCCCTGAAGGCGTCCCAGTTGGCTTCCTCGTAGCGCCGTTCTTAAGGCGAACGCCAACGATTGGTAGGTCGGTTTGGAGGTCAAGAACTTGGTGTGAAATGCTCCTAAGCACCCCGATGGCTACGGAGTGCCTGAAGTTGCCGCAGCGCTTGTAGCTCCAATCGTATCTCCCTCTCAGCGAACGATTGAAATTCTCCCGTGATTTCGCTAGCTTCGACGTCGCTCGACGAAATTTATTGCCGACCACCAAAGATTCAGAAGAAAAGAGGACTTTAATTAACTCTTGATTCTTGCATTTACTCGAAGGAGCGCATCAAAGGATTTATTTTTGTGTTGGTCACAGCTGGACGTACCAATCTACTCGAAGGCATCATTTTGTCAGACGTAATTTGGTGTAAAATCTATTAAGAGATCCATTTGGAGGTTAAATTTGGCAACAACTGACAACGTTTAGGCCGTTCGCAATGCTGAGTTTCAAAATTGTTTCCAACTACTCGACAGTGCTAAAATTTAAAACTGCAACATGATCAGCGCTACGCACAGTTATAAAAGGTGTTTGGTATTCATCCCTACATATGTGTGCGTGCAGAGTTAGTTTGCGTCGGTGATTTTAGCATGAATTTGATTACCTGGCGGCCTTTGGAATAATTTCTGAGCAACCTGGCATGGCACTTGATTTGAATTTTTAGTCAGTAGATGTTGAAACCATTGGGCACAAGATCCGATACCCCTGCCCGAGGTGATAACGACGTACTCTATCAGCAGTGAAGAACGTTGGTTCGTTGACAGCCGGATGAGTGAAGATAGAGAAGAAGAAGAAGTAAACGTCAAGAACAAAAACAAAAGTGTGAAAGGACAGAAGTCAGATTATTCTTTGATCGCAAATGTTAATGATTTTGATAAT